ATTCTTCTTTATTGTCTTTCAAAACAGCTTTGCTTCAGTATCTCTTCCAGTGAAACGATTGTCAGTTATGAATTTATATTTGTTCTTTTCTTTTCCTTATTTTCAAAAATTTTCTTTTCTTTTTTTTTATCTTGTGATAAAACAAAGAGAAAATAGTTCTCGTATAAAAAATTTCTAGGTAAGCGGTGTACAGATAAACTGATCAAAAGCACATATCATTTGAAACAGAGTAGCAAAAATACAGGAAGAAAAATACTCGATTAAAAGTTTGATAACTTACGAAATACGCCAGGCGGAATTGGACGATAAAGTGGCAATGGATGAAATGTTGGTGCTGTAAGTGAAACTCCATCTTGAAATAATAAACGATGTTGTTGAACAGCTGATGGTATGGGAAAAAACGATGGATGAAAAAGTGGAGTTTTATATTGCTGTTTAATCACTGCTTGTTTTTGAATATATAATGTTTTGTAACGTTGATACCAATCACCAGCGGTGGTATCTGTTTGACTAATGCTCATTATTGCTAAAACAATAATCACACAGACTTGTTTATTCTCAAACGTAAATCGAATGTAATCAACTAACCTGTTTTATCAAAATCTCTATTACACAAATATTGCCACAATAAATTATCACTCATTGTTGTGTGAAAACCTCGACATGCGGATTTTAATGCTAATAAAGATTTTAATGGTAAGTATTTGACCAGACGCAACTATAAATGAAACAAAAAGTAATAAATCAACACTCATCATTTGTAAAAGACAATAGAACAATACAAGACAAATTATCCAAATCTCTGCTGTAAATTACTTTACACTAGCACAACGGAATTTTATTTATAAATTAATTTTTCTTACTTTGATTTCGTTCGGAAGCCCTGCCAATGATGCAGTACACGTTTGACCAGATTCTAAAAAACAAAAACGAAAGAATATAAAATAACATAGCTTATTGATTAATCAGGCTTACCTTCTAGTAAACGACATAATAATTTGTTTGATATGTTATCTTTGAATAAACATGATAAATTTCTTAAATCATGATAAGGAAATTGGATTTGTAATGCAGACACTAAGAATAAACATATAAGTTAAATTAACCAGAGTAGAGAAAAACAAAAACATACTCTCTTTTTGTGTATATAAATAATTTGATATTTTAAGCAATAGTTTGCCACATGCTTGTGATATTGAATTAATTACACCTAAAAAATGCAAATGAGTTTATTGCGTATAAAATCTCAATTTAGAAAAGTTTGTATTCTTACCGTCCACTGTTACCAATGTATCTGTTTTCATAATGGCCAAAGAACAACATAAATTTTCTTCTCCACATAATTTGTGATGATAACGTATGACATAAAATGTATCGGACTTTTTAGAAGACGTTAAATCGTATTCATTATCGGCAACCTATTTATAAATAAAGACGTTTAATCAATGATAAACTAGAGTAAACAGGAAAAAGCGCCTCTTGACATTTCAACACAGAAACATTGTGTGTTCTGCAAAAATTGAAACTATATAAAACAACGTGGAGGGTTTGTTTACTTTTAGCAGTATATTATATATATACGGTTCTCAAATACATCAGTATTTAATCTCACCGAGAGAAAGACATCTTATTATATGAATTAATACATTTCATCGAATAGATGCGAAAAATTGAATATTTCTGAAAATATTAACTAAAGTCTTAGCTATATGGAGCATGATCGGATTAAAATCAAGAATTTCTTAAAATATCAAATCCATTATGAATGATTGTAGTACTTTAGATAGAGAATTCAGTAAGATCGCGCCTCTATCATCCGATACTTATATTAACTGGATAGATAACAATGAAATACATAAATTTTGCCACTCAAGTCTGAGAAAAAGGGATGCGCTAACGTGTTTTTCTTCTTTCCTAAAGTACGTGGTAAATAATGGAATAAAACGAAGCAAGTTAGTACCATTTGAAAACCATTTTCCAGCATAAGAACATGAATGGCCAATACAATAAAATCAAGATTCGTTTGTGGCATTGAATGTTCACATAATTTATGCATTATAATTGGATACATATCATTATTTCGCACTTCGTCTAATGTCAAAGGTTGTGTTAGAATGCCACTGGAAGAGGAAGTTACCGGATTCATATTTGTGTTACGGTTACAAATTGAAGATGTGACGTTACTGAGTAGCGACGATGACGTGGTTGTTGTTGTTGGTACGAGTGTGGAGGTGCTAATGCAAGGTATTAAATCACGTAATTGTTCTTCACTCAATAACACATAAATCGTATCTCCATTAACCAAACCACATTCTTGCAATCGTTCTGTTTCTTCAAGTGGAAGATGTCCATTTAGACTAATACGAAAGTCAATTCTAAAATAAGACGAGATACATAATAAAACAATCTATCGATTGATTACTCTTACTTACTTTCGAAGAGCTGTAAACCGTTTTTTGATTTTATTTTTCAATTCGAAAATAGTTGATTCTTCGTTTATATCTTCGATTGTCACTGGACACGTGTGCACGGATATTTTAACACGAAATTTCATTGTTCTTCACGTGAACTCAAATAAATAAAAGCACATATATGAACATTAATAAATCAGATAGATAATGAGTAACAAGAAACAGTGCTGTTATGTGTATTGCTGTTATTACATATACTTCCTTCCTGTCTTGCGACCTCAATACGCGCTATTCATTCGCTCATATCTTCCAAGCAAAATTATGCGTAGAGGATGAGAAGTTTTTTCAAGAGATAGCGTCACTGTCATACTGTTAAATGGATTAGGTTCTAGAATAGCTTAAATAACGATAGAAAGAATGCATGATTTCCCCTTTTTCAAGATCTGCACGTCTTTATCTCTTTGTTAATCTTCGAAAATAATATGTCGCTTATCCAATCATCAGCAGAGAATTTGACGTGAATTCTTCTTATATGTAGTAATATAAGATCCTAGTGAGATACTAATGATAAAGAAAAAAATGTAGAGCTTCAGTGAAGGTGATGTCTTTTTGGTGCCATGCACAGTTTTAATGTGCTCTTTTTAAAATTCGGAATAGTGATTTTTAGTAAAAATTTGATCGTTGATATAAATCAAATGAGTAGGCGGTTGATCGTATTTTGTTTACACGAATCTGAAATTCTAGCGTTGATACTTTTTCAGCGCTTAACAGTGAAAGATGAAGACCTCTATATAAATGCACAAGAACGCTTGTATCCATTAACTAGCGTTACTGATTTGATTCTTGTGAAAAATTTTTGTCAAGGCTTTCTCTCCTGCGCATTTTTCTTAAACATAGGTAGTTGTTGATGATGTGCACATTTTATTGTAGACATTGGATTATACTTGGAACTTGTGTTGAGATGTGTAT